AAGGAACTTAAGTTAAAAATTCTAATTAAATTCGTGAAATCCGAGGACTTCAGGAGCTGTGCGGTGTAAGTAAAAGTGTTCAAGTATGCAAACTACAGGTTGCATTTATTGTAGTATCTAGACAAAACTTTGCACAGATCATTTGTGTGGTCCAAGCACGAATAATGCAGAAACTGGTTAATGTTGAGGTATATACCAGCTATATGCGACCGATGTAATGTTTATTGTGCACCAAATGCGTAATATCTGATCAAAAAGATAGGTCTTGAACAGTAGCAAGGTTATAAAATTTGTTGGAAATAAGTTCAGATTACGCTGTTATTCCCATATTATGTATTATCCTATTTGATATTTAACCCCCTAAAGACGTAGTATGTGACACCTTTTTTGACGCTGATCGACAAACTTTATATGATATCCAAGTCCGACGATTCCATTTATGCAATTTTATTGTCCACATATCCCTTTTTTGCATTTCTGCTTCGGGTCATTATCCTGTTGCATAACCGTAATAAGTGATATTTCTTTAGAAACATACTGAAGCACTACTTTCTCATGAATTTGAACTTAGATGGACGTACTTATATGGTGTAGCAGGCCGACGCCATAATAAGAAAAACTCCTCCCCGCATGAACTGTTAGCGATGATCGTAAAAATTTTTACTGGATGCTGTTCGTTTTCCCAAAAGTCCCGTAAGTGTGAGTGAAGTGAGACATTTTGACATTTAAGTTGCAAATTCTTACTAGGATTATTTCCCCCAGTAAGGATTATCCAGTAACATCATCAATAATCAGTTGCTTAGTAAACAAACACACATATTTAACCAATTTATTTTTGGGGAAAGTTATTAAAATCATGAACAACAATGTATAAGGAAATGATAATACATAATAAATTAAATAGACGATAATGATATCGTTATTTAAGTGTCAAATCTACATAAAAAATTTGTGCATCCGTGGAACACCATTGCCCATATCAACTGCAGGTGTAATAATAATTTATTGTAGATGGTATCTCTGTGCATGGGAAAGGTTTATTTTATTATTCATTGTTTTGTAATGAAAACAAGTAAAAAAAGTTGAATACCCTCCACCATTTGGTACAAATTTGCCGAATTTCAATAAAGAAAATCCATTAAAAATTGTGTTAAATTCTTAAAAATACCGAATATAGGCGTATATTAGGGTCTACGAAGACTTAGACCTGCATTGGCAACTTTTGTCATAAGCTATTACAATATTCAAATGCTTAACTTGAAATAAAAACTGTTTATAATGTAGCTAAAGTATATAAAATACCAAATATAGGGAGGTACAATACGTGGACCTGCACAGACAATTTTCTGGCATAGGCTGTAGATCCATTAGGAACTTCAAATACAAAATTTGAAACAATTCCGGTAAATAACGTCGCTAAAATCATCCAAATACTGAATATCGGGGGTACCGTTATATGGGGGCTATACGAAGACGTGGGCCCAGATGGCTCACGTCATAGGCTGTAGTATCCATTACGAACTTCAAATACCAAATTTGAATCAATTCCGGTAAACAATGTCGCTAAAATCATCAAAATACCGAATATCGAAGGGTACCGTTATATGGGGGCTATACGAAGACGTGGACCTACATGACCGATTTTCTGTCTTAGACTGTAGCATCCATTACGAACTTCAAATACCAAATTTGAAACAATTGCGGTAAATAATGTCGCTACAATCATCAAAATAGCGAATTTCGAGGGGTACAGTTATATGGGGGCTATACGAAGAGGTGGACCCACATAGCCCATTTTCAATACCAAAAGTCCTGCAGACATAAAACACATTTAAGTAAATTGTTATCAACTTATTTCATTTCGTTCGGAAGACGGACGGACATTGATAAATCGACATAGAATTTTATGCTGATCAAGAATATATATACTTTGTGGGGTCTAAAATGTATATTTCGAGGTGTTACAAATGAAATGACAAACTTAATATACCCTCCATATAATAATAAAATAATCTGCATCAGAATGTTTTTTGTCATAGGAGTTATTTTTAAAATAACTCTTGGGGAGAATATCCCAGACAAAAAACAAGGGAAGTGATGAGAATTTGTGGCTCTTTCCGAAATCTTGGAATTCGCTTCCTTGTCTCCTGGTAAAAACAAACGTTGCTTTTATATATAAAAAAAAACAATAATGATATTAAGCCTGATTATTTTGCAATAACAAAATATTTCTGCTGCTTATGTAAAGATTCACTGCACGTTTTGGAATAACGAAAGAAGAAGATCTTGATGTTTATAATTTTGAGATTAGGAGTGAAGAAATAAGTTGATGAGTTGAGGAAATTATTAATAACCGTCTCTCCCATAAAGAAAGCCCCGAAGATCTTGTTTCACTTACAGCGGGTATAAGGTTTCAACTTCAATTAGGTAATGTAAATATATTTATTGCGTATTGACGATTAAAACAATTTTGTCTACATTTCAAATACGTCCCGAACATTAAATTAAAATCAGTTAATTAAATTAAGTATTTGGGTTTTTACATAAGATTCGAGCTTTGATATTGAGGTTTTCAATGTTTACTACATTTGAACGCAACGAACTGTACTCTGAAATTGTAGCTTCCTCTTCTCTCGGATCTTAAATGTTTGTTTCTTTCTTAGTTTGTCTCCTAATTCTTGTTGCGATCTTTGTTCAGAACAAGAATAAAGACTGCTATTTTTGTGCTTTACCATATAAGTGTATCTCGCTATATTCGGTATTTTGAAGATTTAAGCCACTTTTCCAACGGAATTGTCTAAACTTTTGTATTTGTGCTTCGTAATTGGTATAACAACTGTACATACAAATATGTTTTCCTATAGCGCCCATATAACGGTGCCTTTCGACCTCTGGGATTTATGTAATTTCAGCAACATTTAACAAAATGTTTATGAAATTGGTATCTACAGTTTGTTAATGGGGTTAATGTCCCGTGGCATATCATTGTCTACATAGGTCCATGTTTTCCTATAGCCCCACTTTACCGGTACCTGCCTGTTCACTGATACTGAATATGGTTTTATAAAAAAAGAGGATAGTGTAGAAGAGATTAATTAAATTTAAAATTTATCAGACTACAGGCTGATAAGCATTTGTAGCTTGGTTGCTTGCCAGATGTGAAATAGCTAAGCATCTGAGTGTGACCTCTCCCTAATATAGTAGATATCTTTCACACATGTGGTTATATCTTTTTTATACTTAATCTTACGTTAGATTAAGTCATATTTTCATAAGCAGTACTTAAGAAATATTATTATTTAATAAATTAGCATCTTCCAACTACTCAATAAGGAAACAGGCATTGTCTTATAGATTCCAATTTATACTGCAGATTTTCGACATTTTTACAATTCCAGAAAATGATCTTTTTTTTGTAAACATGTAATGTACTAAATATTGACTTTTCCTGAAGATGATTGTGTTAACTGAAGAATTTTGAAAAATTAAAAAACACGTCGAAAAATACCGCTTAAATTATAATATAGCCCGTTATACATTGGCTGCATACGCAATTTTTGAAAATTAAATAGGGTAAGTGCGCCTTAGGTCGTCCCATGTCCCAGTAGTCGGCAGTTTTGAAATTTAAACTTAAATAAGTAAGAATAGAATTGACCAAATAATGAAATAATTGCAAAAAAACGTCAACAGTGTTCTCTGCTCTTTTTCTTAAAAAAAAAAAAAAAAACAATGAGCTCCGATCATTTATTACGAGAGAATAACGGGTTTCGTCAGTGAGTGTCTTCCAACGCATGCGATAGTGCTTGTTTCTAAAGAAAAAAATAGTGGTGGTGTCAACTTAATAATCGATTTAAGTAAATTAAATTTAATACTTTTGGAATCAGAAATATTTTATTAAAGTAAATAACAGTCTAAAGATCATATTATAATTTAAAAAAATTACAAATCAAGCATTTTTCTGTTATATTATTTAATGCCGACATTAGGAACAGAAAAAAAGAAATTTGCTAGTAGTCGGCAGGGGTGCCGATTACTAGAAAAATATAATTTTTGACCCATTTCACCAAAACTTGAGAAAACTATTAAAAAATTATCCAAAAATTACACAAATAAAATAGTATTTTTGTGTCGGCAGTTGTTTTTATTTGTGCTTTTGGACCAACTTTTCTAAATTAAGTAGGTTTTTTAAATCAGCTATTTGACGTTTTAGATAGCGGTGGCATTTTTGAAGAAAGGAAAGAGATCAATTCACAAATTCCAAATATAAGAAAGTTATTTTTTTATTTAATCGCATATTTATTTTAATTGAAAATCCATACGTTACTGAAGGTAACCATACTATTCTTGATTTTCTACCTATATTTGGTTTAGAATGATAATTAAATAAAACACTATTTAAAAACGAAATTTATTTCGAAAACTAAACAAATCTGAACAACATTGTTTTTCTGCAATTGAAAGATTTCACTCAGAATGTTGGAAGATTGAAACATTGAAAATTCTAAAAGTGCCGACTACTGGTACACTTACCCTACAACATTTAAAACAATTTAGTAAATAATGTAGCCAAAATCATCAAAATTCCGAATAATTGGAGGTATCTTTATATGAGGACTATACGAAAACGTGGACCGACTTAACGTGCCTACTGGTAAATTACACATGTGTGCAAAATTTTAATCTTCTATCTCATTTTTTTTACGCTGATCCAGAATATATATATTTTGTAAGGTCTATTACGAATAATTCCAGAAGTTACAGACGGAATGACAAAATTTATACTTTTTTACTTTTACTTTCTTTTTGGGCCCACCACGAAATATTTTCCAAAGGCATTTCTGGCAACGTTGGTAAAGATTTGGATAATAATTGTCAACAGTTGTAGCTTGTATATTTCTTAATAATATCATTATTTTTCATATATTTTATAGCGTCCTGTGACTTCAAACTTTCCGATCTATTCAATAGTACAATTCTAAGTGAAGTTTTATGCAACTTACCTTTGATCCACACGTTTGCTCTTGATGTAAGAGAAGGGGTTCCATGATCTTTAACCTTTATTATGAGTAGATATGACTTGCACTCCTCGTAATTTAATTGATGTTTAAGGTAAATAGAACCATCTGCAACATCGATATAAAATAATTCTGAATCTCTGTCACCGTTTGTTGCATCTATGTGAAAGGACAAAACGCTATTTGCATCAGAGTCGCAGTCGGATGCATTTATCTTTAAAACTTGGGAGCCAAGTGGTAGATTTTCGGGTAATGTTATATTGTAGTTATCAGTCTCAATATGTGGATAGCAGTCATTTGCATCCTCAACCCCAATCGATAGAGTAACTTCTGCAAACACTCCAGAAACAATATCAGTTGCCCTTACGATCAATTCATGCGACTTTTGCATTTCAAAATCCAAAGTATTTACCACATATAGCATGCCTAAAAATATGAATGAATCGGAGATCATTAGTTATATTAGTTTGAACGCAACAACGATATATATGTATATATATATATATATATATATATATATATATATATCTATATATATAAAAGAAAGTTGTGTTAGTTACTACGCTTATAACTTAAGAACCGCTGGACTAATTTTAACGATTCATACAAATTCGGAATTGTCTCCTCTCCGAAAAGGATAATATCCAAAAAAATCGCGTAAAAATGTGTTATATTAACATTTTCATTTTGACTTTTGAAATGTACAATAGTAATGTTTTATTTTGCATAATGTTTTTCCATTTTGACTTACTTTTTTCTAATGTACATTTGTAGTGTTTTTTTTACTTTTTTATTTTTTTTTTTGAATTCAAATATTAATACCAATTTATTTAATTGACTTGATTTCTTGAGAAATGAAATTGATGTCGAGTTACATGGAAGTGTAGTACCGAATTATGTGGTGGCGAAACGGAATAGATGATGTCGAAATAATTTAATGGAATCGAATTTTAAAATAGAAGTACATTCTATTGACAAACTATATAAGGATCTTTAAACATTTTCTGTAAAAAATCAGCGAACAAGTTGAAGATTTTTTCAATGTGTTATTCTTCTTTTGTCAATTTTTTTTTCAATTTGTATTATCTAATTGAATTCAGTAAATTTTTTGTGAACAAAATAAAGAATAATTTTTCACTATATACAAATTTTCACCAAAAAATTAAATAAGTGGGAAATACGATGTTAACTGACATCTACCTTTCAACTCCAGGGCCGACATCGTGGTTCAGCTGGAAGATGCGAACACATTTGAACAAACGAAAATTACCGAAAAACCCTAATGGGGCTCATTTCAAAGCGTGGAACTACTTCTTTCCTGTCTCAATAATCCGTCCAATGTACAATCAGAAAAATACCAAATATAAAGGGTGGAAAATAGTAGAGCGAATGGGACTCTTAGTAAGAAAAGAATTTCTATCCTTCCAGAAATTCTTCCCAAACATTCGAGATACCTTTAATCGCTTTTGCAGGTCATGATATCGATCATAACTCACGGATAAGGGTACAATCCGATTTCATATTTATATAACCATCGTATGATTTAAGTTTTTTTTGGTGTCTTGGTCACTTTTTTAATATTTTGGACATTATTTGGCATATTTGTTTCTAAGGAGGTAGAAAACCTCTTCGCATAAAGTTTGAAATTTTCAGAGTAGGGCCCATTTTGGTTTTGACCATATTCATTAATTGATTTGGCTAAAAATTGTATTTATGCTACCCTGGGGTAGGGAACCATCATACAGATAATTGCCACACAGGAATTTATTTAAGTAAAGACCCTACATTGGAGTATCTACAAGTCCACTTTCACATCTAATTGGTGGTCAGAAAAGAAAATTTTGTTTTTTATTGAATTTGTAACCCCCAAGAGAATATTGGTTGGGCCACGTTTTGTTATAACCCTTATATAAATGTATCCCTGATTTCAGCTGTGACCGTGGTCTTGGCCACGTTTTTCAACTGATTTGGCCATTATTTGCTGTATTTAGGCTACTTTGTGAGTAGAGAACCGTCTTACAGAAAAATATCAACATACGTAAATATTTTGGTACAGTCCCCATATAGTCCCCAGGCCCGCCGATCTATAGTGATGTTTACCGATTGGCGGACAACAACGCGGGTATTGTTTAATCGTCATTGAATTTTACTATGAACAAGAACATAGACTTTTTGGGGACTCTAATGCGCAATTTGAGGTGCTATGGTAATGGGTGTAAAAGCGTAATTAACTTTCACTATTCAGAAATTATTTTGATTAGTCGAATCAATATTTATATTAAAATTTGTTCACCTTTATGAGCTAGATTTGTGAAATATTATGCTATGCTAAATTTGCATTAAAGACTAAAACTACGGGCCGGCAACGCGGACAAATCCGAGGAGAAATGTGACAAAAATCGTCAAAATAACGAATTTCGGGAGGTACCGTTATATGGGGACTATACCAAAACGTGGACCATTTTCAATACCAACCATCCTATACACAGTACAAATTGTTCTGCTAAATTTTGAAGCTCTACGTCAAATAATGTGGGCTGTATCGTAATTTAAATAAACAGACATACAGACGGAGTCTATGACGAACATTTAGGGATGTTACAAACGGAATGAAAAAGTTAATATACCCTCCTTTCCAAGGTGGGGGATATAATAAGCATTAAAGACTAAAATTACGGGCCGGCAACGCGGACCGGGCCAGCTAGTATATATATATATATATACTAGCTAGTATATATATATATATACTAGCTGGCCCGGTCCGCGTTGCCGGCCCGTAATTTTAGTCTTTAATGCTTATTATATCCCCCACCTTGGAAAGGAGGGTATATTAACTTTTTCATTCCGTTTGTAACATCCCTAAATGTTCGTCATAGACTCCGTCTGTATGTCTGTTTATTTAAATTACGATACAGCCCACATTATTTGACGTAGAGCTTCAAAATTTAGCAGAACAATTTGTACTGTGTATAGGATGGTTGGTATTGAAAATGGTCCACGTTTTGGTATAGTCCCCATATAACGGTACCTCCCGAAATTCGTTATTTTGACGATTTTTGTCACATTTCTCCTCGGATTTGTCCGCGTTGCCGGCCCGTAGTTTTAGTCTTTAATGCAAATTTAGCATAGCATAATATTTCACAAATCTAGCTCATAAAGGTGAACAAATTTTAATATAAATATTGATTCGACTAATCAAAATAATTTCTGAATAGTGAAAGTTAATTACGCTTTTACACCCATTACCATAGCACCTCAAATTGCGCATTAGAGTCCCCAAAAAGTCTATGTTCTTGTTCATAGTAAAATTCAATGACGATTAAACAATACCCGCGTTGTTGTCCGCCAATCGGTAAACATCACTATAGATCGGCGGGCCTGGGGACTATATGGGGACTATATGGGGACTGTACCAAAATATTTACGTATGTTGATATTTTTCTGTAAGACGGTTCTCTACTCACAAAGTAGCCTAAATACAGCAAATAATGGCCAAATCAGTTGAAAAACGTGGCCAAGACCACGGTCACAGCTGAAATCAGGGATACATTTATATAAGGGTTATAACAAAACGTGGCCCAACCAATATTCTCTTGGGGGTTACAAATTCAATAAAAAACAAAATTTTCTTTTCTGACCACCAATTAGATGTGAAAGTGGACTTGGAGATACTCCAATGTAGGGTCTTTACTTAAATAAATTCCTGTGTGGCAATTATCTGTATGATGGTTCCCTACCCCAGGGTAGCATAAATACAATTTTTAGCCAAATCAATTAATGAATATGGTCAAAACCAAAATGGGCCCTACTCTGAAAATTTCAAACTTTATGCGAAGAGGTTTTCTACCTCCTTAGAAACAAATATGCCAAATAATGTCCAAAATATTAAAAAAGTGACCAAGACACCAAAAAAAACTTAAATCATACGATGGTTATATAAATATGAAATCGGATTGTACCCTTATCCGTGAGTTATGATCGATATCATGACCTGCAAAAGCGATTAAAGGTATCTCGAATGTTTGGGAAGAATTTCTGGAAGGATAGAAATTCTTTTCTTACTAAGAGTCCCATTCGCTCTACTATTTTCCACCCTTTATATTTGGTATTTTTCTGATTGTACATTGGACGGATTATTGAGACAGGAAAGAAGTAGTTCCACGCTTTGAAATGAGCCCCATTAGGGTTTTTCGGTAATTTTCGTTTGTTCAAATGTGTTCGCATCTTCCAGCTGAACCACGATGTCGGCCCTGGAGTTGAAAGGTAGATGTCAGTTAACATCGTATTTCCCACTTATTTAATTTTTTGGTGAAAATTTGTATATAGTGAAAAATTATTCTTTATTTTGTTCACAAAAAATTTACTGAATTCAATTAGATAATACAAATTGAAAAAAAAATTGACAAAAGAAGAATAACACATTGAAAAAATCTTCAACTTGTTCGCTGATTTTTTACAGAAAATGTTTAAAGATCCTTATATAGTTTGTCAATAGAATGTACTTCTATTTTAAAATTCGATTCCATTAAATTATTTCGACATCATCTATTCCGTTTCGCCACCACATAATTCGGTACTACACTTCCATGTAACTCGACATCAATTTCATTTCTCAAGAAATCAAGTCAATTAAATAAATTGGTATTAATATTTGAATTCAAAAAAAAAAAAAATAAAAAAGTAAAAAAAACACTACAAATGTACATTAGAAAAAAGTAAGTCAAAATGGAAAAACATTATGCAAAATAAAACATTACTATTGTACATTTCAAAAGTCAAAATGAAAATGTTAATATAACACATTTTTACGCGATTTTTTTGGATATTATCCTTTTCGGAGAGGAGACAATTCCGAATTTGTATGAATCGTTAAAATTAGTCCAGCGGTTCTTAAGTTATAAGCGTAGTAACTAACACAACTTTCTTTTATATATATATATATATATATATATATATATATATATATATATATATATATATATATATATATATATTATAATTACTTAATTTGTGTGCTTTTGAATTACAGAAATTATAGAGTTCTCTTTAATCTCAAATTTGTAATATATTCCCAGTAAGATACACGTTGCAGGCGATGCTACTAGATAGAAGAGAATTGCTAAAGTAGATCCCCCAAACAGGTTCAAGGGAACTATATATTAACAACAAAAAGAATGCCATTGGCCTAGTGGCGAGCATATTGCGGAAAAGAAAAAAATGTTTCATCGCTTATTAAATCTAAAGAAATACAAACCAAAAAAATGTGTACAGATTTTCGAAATGGAAACGGTTGCTTAGAGCGGCAGCTTATGTTTAATGATTTATTTTCATTTGCAAACAGCCAAAGAAGAAGCATGACGAATTTTCACAAGAAAATATAACTAAAGGTGAAAAATAGTCATTCTCGCTATCCTAAAGAAACATTT